TACAAAGCAAGGCACACTGATATCTTGCCATTTGGTCAGTACATTGTTTTGGAATGTCAGTAGCGTGTAAGGGTAACTAATGATGGGTCAAGTATGGCATAAGATCCTTGAGAGGTAAATTTAAGTGTTTTGTTGGACCTCATGGTATTCTGCGTATCTTTGGAAGGAGGCAAAGATGATGGGCAAGGTGATTTATGTTGCTTATAAGTCTGTAGGCTTGGGATATAAATCTCTACTATAATCATCACACTGCACCCTCTCTACTGGGGATTCTCTTCTCATGGATTAAATTGATGATCATTCTCATATTGTCTGTTTCGTTGTAAATGAAAATAGCCATATTAAAATTAATTGTTTCTGCGTAATGTTTTGAAGAAAGGAGTTTGTACAGGGTTGACTTTTGTTCAGGTAATAAGGTCCACAGCTTTGTTTCTTGTTTGGTACAATATAACTAGAGCTTTGTTTGAAAAAGATGAGAGAATAGAATGTGAATTTCTTCTTGAAGTCATTGTGATGAGTATAGATATATATTTATATTCATCACAAAGACTATAGTTAAATGTATAATGTCCGGAGAAGAGGTGAATGACTCTTGAAATATTTATTGAAAATCATCAGTCTAGAAGCACCCTGAAATATCTGTAGCAGAATCATGTGTTTTCCCCTTAAAGACTCCAGAGAAGCCCATAACACTCTAATTATAGAAGTAACCAAACTTTGAAGTGGCATTAATCAAGGAAAAACTGTATTTTTGTCAAATAAATTGAGCATCACTTCCTGGAATGTCTCAACCAGCATTAAATAAATGAATTCATAGTAAATCGGATTGATTTCTTTTGTAATCCCACCCTTCACTTTGATCACATTTGCAGATAAATAATGCACAGGAGAGCTTTTCACTCTAGTGCTGCCTGTTGTTTGGCATTTTGGCATTTAAGTACCCAGACTCCTAACTAGCACGTCATTGGTGACTAAGAATTGAACAATAGGCAAAATTAGTTAAGATTCCTTGGATAGATGTTTCAGATATCTTTAACTTTTGAATGTGGTACTGCAGATTTGAAATGGTGACTGTAAGCACCTCAGTGATAAATAGAAGTAAAAACGGAAGTTTGACTTAAAAAAGGCAGTTGCTGTGTTCAGATTGGCTGTACCTTGGTGTAGCATTTCCTTGGTATTAATGCACACCTTATATCACCGGACACTACCAAATGTCATCTTTTCAGTGCCTGGACAACTAATGCCTACTTAAGTCTTAAAGGTCACTTTGATTAAGTTAGTGGTTTTGTCATTAGTATCATCAGATATTTTGAGGATTTGACTTTACTGCTACACTTGCTTTGAATGTCAGCAAGGCTGCCCATTAGTTGTTACAATCGGACAGAAATTAGCTGGATATAAAATAGATTTAAAATTCAAGTGGCTATTGTTATTTTGACAAGGAAAAAATTGCAGCCCATCTTAATTTTTGTGCTGTAACTGACAATGGATTTTGTTGACAGATATATATTTGATTTGTAAATTTGATAGAAAATCCATTCAACTAGACTAGTCTGGTATGCATATGATAAAAATAAGGTCTTTTTTACAATAATAATTAGCATTTATGAGTCTAGCTTTTCGCTGACCTGTTACTGTACATCGGTTGATGCTCCATGAATGTTACATGCATGATTTGACATTTACTCAATGCTAGAATCACAAGTGCTGTCTGCATTGACTAATTATGAGACAGTCAGTGAACCCTGGCATTATAACATTTGATGATTTGGACCACCATAACATGTAAAACAACTGGATGAAGTGTTGCCACTTGTCTAATCTACCTGATGAATGCAATTTACATACCCATACCTACATTTTTTGGTTGTTTAGTAATAATGAATATGTGGATAAACGTCACCTGGTCCAGTAATGATAAATTGGCTTTTAACAGATTTGTATGTAGAAATAATCTGCTACTGTATTTTTCCTATTATAATTTAATTTGAGAAACTTGCATTTTTGCTTATAAAAGTGTTCTTTATATATTTACCTTAAAATAGCCTGCACATACTAAGCCACAAATTTAAATCTCATCATGCCAATGACAGTTATGGATTTAGTCTGACAGCATCCTTCATATTCCCCTTGTACAGATCAGGTCAGAATGAAACGTTATTAATTTCAGGTATTGATCACCATGAAAAGGATGAACAAATAAAGTTCGGGTTATTAGTCTTTCCAAAAAAATGAGAAATGAAATGGTAAAGTTCAAGGAGTCCCAAGGTTATATGTCCTGTTGGTTTTTCCAGCAGATGAAGAGACCATTGCCTCAGTTAAAATGTTCAGTGTTTTCTGAGGCCATCTTTTGGTTTTATTGCCTCTATATTGGTTAGTTTTTCACCTCAAATAGCCAATTTCTCATGAGAAGCAAGTCTGAGAAAGAGCGTCAACCCATAATAACTGACAGGTAGAAGATTGGTCTCATTGTATTGCCAACACACTAATGTGGTTACAGGGAAACTGGCTTTGATAGGCAATGGGTCCACTAGCCAATTAGATTAATCCAAAATTTGATGATTCTGTTAGGAATCAGACAAGTTATTCACAGTGAAAAGATACCTAGGCCATGTGATATAAATAAGTCATGTGAACCATCATTGTTAAATGGGGGTCACTACATTGTGAGACTTGACTAGAAAAAACACGAGTATTCACGTAATGTGAGGTTAACTTTTTAACAATCAAAGTGAACCTCTTTGTGCCAGGAATGTTGAAAAAGCAATACAAAAATAACAAAGAAAATGTGGTAAATTTGTACTGATCTGCAGTAGACTGTAATTTGACAACCAGAAAAAGTATTTATGGATATATTCTGACAGCATTTATTCACTGCTGCACCACACTGGCTAGTCTGCCATTATTTTTTAACCTACTTTCCTCCAAATTCTCTGAAATCACACTTGATTTCACACCAGCTGGGGGTAAGAGGCAGATCCAAAGCCGAAAAATTGCTCCTTCTTACTAATGGTGAATTGATTTGGTAAAGTCTTGATTCAAAGTGTAAGACTAGAAGCAATCTTGGTTGTCAACCTGAATTTTTTCAATCAGACAGTGACACAGATCATTCAAACTATGATAACTATGTATGGGATCATTTAATGCATGGGTTGACACATGTCAGATGAACGGTCCCTATGGTGATTGAGTGTGGCATGTCAGTTTGTAAATTGATTGTCTTTAACTCTCTATAAGGAGAATAAAAATATCTATTTGTTTATAGAATAACTACATACTGTTTGTACTACCACCTTAAAAGAGGAAGTTGCTGCTTTTTTTGGGGGGGTGGGGTGGGCATTTGTTTTGCTGCTGGATTATCTGTAGTTGAATGCAATAAATCAATGTTTTGTTTCTGAAGGATTTGTCTGTGATTTGGAAAAACAATTAACGCAAGGCACACCTGTATGGGCTGATGAAACTCAAGAATTCAAAAGAATGTTAAAGGCCAACATGGATATCAATTTATTACTTTGTAAAATGATTATTGATTGGGTTTCTTTATAGAAACGCTTTAAGCAACACATAATATCTTTGAAGGTCAAGAAATCAGGAATTAAACTTTTAAACTGTCATGAAATGAAGAAGCTCTATCAAGCATTAATGGTTTTGTGGTGTAATCCTCAGTGAGAGATGTTTTTACCACAATACTGCCACTTCTGTGGCTTTTGGCTGTGAAGATGGATTGATATCTAACAAGACATGAGGGCTAAAGACTATAGTACTGCAGTAGGGCATGATATAACAGCATGAAATGCTGGAATCAGAGATCACAATCACAGCACGGCCTGTCTCCTGTCAGTTCAAAGTGACAAAATATCATTTCTAAATCACTGATAAAGTCACCTCTGATGTAGCACATTACCAGATTTGTTAGCGTCATGCAGATGCATGAGACTTCTAAAGAAGAGAGAAGATTGAATTTTTTTAGATCATGCTCAGACCTTTGCAAAATATAAAAATCTTTTTTTTTTTCTAACTGGGCTTTTTAGGAACTTAAGATTACTGATAAAAATTGATTGTTGAAAATGAATATCTAAAAAGCTTTCTAAAACAAAGTGTTTGTAAAAAGGCCACGATGATAAAATGGCTGTGATTAATCAGTATTGTTCAGGCAGTAGAGAAAAAGATACAAGCTTATCTTTTCAAAACTGTTAAATCATAAAAGGGAGATACAGTAGGTAAATTACTGGAGATAACTTGCATTACAGTTTGATGAGGTGCATATAAATGTCAGGTTTGTCAATGGTAAAAATGTGAGGCACAAGACGCACATAGTGTAAGATGTAAGGGTTTGAAACCTTTTCCTATAAGATTAATGATGTCAGAAACCGTAGATTTTCTCATTACTTATGAGTTATTTTTGAAATGTTACTTCAGTTAAGACTACTTAGTTGAACATTAGAAGTATTATTTTGGCATTAGTATATGGAGGTTGCCAGTTGGTTTGTGTAGAGTGATATATAAAAGTATGTTTGTAAGACAGTAATTGGTTATGAAGGGATTTTGCTGTGTTCAGCTAGACATCTCTCAATCTGAGAGATACACTAGCTGGTCATCTCTACCAGCACATTGTACACATTGTATGCTGAGTAGACATGAGTATGCCTTGGGTAGATAGAAAAAGTTGCCCCTTATGCACACATAGTTTCATGATGTGAAGTAATTTTTTTCCACAAAATTCAATTAACCATGGTACTGGACTCTTAGCAGACAAATTGAGTTTTACATACTAGTAAGTTAATAATATATATAATTTCTATAAAATACTGGAGTGGTAGGACATCTTCACAGAGAGGGCTCAGACCAGTGATACTGGGAGGATATAATAATGACGCGTTATATCTTGCGATACATCATTATATCTTTCCAGTAAATAGTACACGCACATGCACACACACACACACACACACACTTATTCTTCTTTTGATGTAAGGAAGAACTTGAATGTTTATTTTCAGATTTATATGTAAAAACACTGTTGAGGAGAAGATTGTTGAACTTCAAAAAAGAAAGCTCTCCCTTGCAAAGAATGTTCTGGCAGGGTAAGTAGATTGTATCTGTTAATTATACTATCAAGGTAGGAGAAAACTTTTGGCAGGTGATTTTCTGAGCCAGGGGAAACCATCAATATTTAGCCAAAAATATATGGGCAGGGGACCATTGCTTGAGATCATGATCAGTTTTCCTTTTCAATCTATCAAGACATGCAGCTATTTATATCTATTTTAACAACCCATTTGATAAGTATTTGATTAGCATTTAGGTATTGTTGCACTATGCTTCCTTTCTTTGGCCTATGTGCTTCCTATGTATCTCCTATTACCAGAAGCTGATTCCAATGTACATCCTCCCATTCCTGTATCTTCTTTATCTTATTACCCTTCTGACTTTCTACCACATTCTCACAGGAAAAAAGTTCTCTTCCAGTTTGTTTGGTATACCGAATCAAACGTCATAATGCACTCAAGATGTAATCGAAAAGATTATTTTCATTATCTTCAGATGTTGTTCCCTAATGGTGTCAACCCACCAGTTAGTCTACTAAATGACCAAAAATCTATATTTGAATGTTTTTAGATACCCAAGCCTGCAAGAAAAATCCATATTCAAATAATGTTTTTGGGTATTCTAAATTCTTTTAAATGCAAAAGACCTGTCTGGAATGACTCATAGTCTATTTAACCCTGGGTAAAGCATCATGTTACAACTTCTCCTCTGAACAAAGAGATTAATTAATCTACAATGATTCTTTATTGACTGGGTGTTAAGAATATTTCCACCCCAGTCATCAGGCATTAGTATGGTAATCAATTCTTTATTGTAGGTCATATCAGTTATAAAGTGAACAATGGGATATTTTAGACATACTTAGATCCAAGTTGAAAAATGTTTTGTTCTTGGTACTATATCTGGTCTGGATTTTTAGGAATCGCAATGTTCACTGAGAATCAAGAAGTTGAAGCCTAGCTCATAGTTATTTTAGATAGGTTGAATATATTTATTTATGATTACCAATTACTTTTTAAAGCAAACTTGGGTATTATTTACTTGGAAAATGAGGGAAATCGTGAAAGACAGCATTTAGAAATGGAATTATTGAAGACAAAATCCAATCCAATCCTGAAGATTAAATTAACCGTCCAAAATTCTTTTCTAGATTGAATAAAAAAGTCAATTTCCTTCTTTTAATGTCAAAAAAAATCTGCATTATAAGAAAATTCCTGTAATATAAAAATAAAATGTAATTTATTGATTGCATTCTCTTATGGTTCTGTTTTTCTTATTTTAGAGCTGGAGGAGCAAAGCAGAAGCTGACCCTGGCAGATCTGCGGCTTCTGTTTGGAGTCTGAGACGTTGTGGATAACTTTGTCCACCACGTTGACTACTTATACATGATAGAACTTTGGTAGTACAGGAATATATTGCCTCTGTCATTACCATGGTCATTACCATTGTCAAAAAGTGTTCTTGCTGTGAAAAGTTTCTATCTCAATAACTCTGACTTCATTTAGGTAGTATGTTAGTATAAGATAACTTTCCAAACAGTTAGGGTAATGGTGAAGTTTATTTGAAAACCAGTTAATGCAGAAAAAGTGACTGGAAGGTGATCTAAAATTATCAGACAACTTCATCTTCATTCAGAAACATATTTTATCCCTATTCAGACTGTGAAAGATGTTCTGGTAATGATAAAATTGCTTCTTTTTTTTTTTTTTTTCTCATCAACCAAATGTGCTATGCAAGTACAGTGAGAAGTTTATTAAATGTATATTGATTTTGTATGCCATCATGGTAGAATAAAATGTCAGTGCGGAAATGATATTATTTTACACCATTTTAATGACCTGTATCCTCTTTCATGTGTATGTAAAAAAGATGAGTTATCTGAACAGCAAATCAGATGGAGCGATCATGGAGGGATGTGACTTGCTGAATACGTAGTATTTATAATCAAAGGACATATTATTATTATTATTCAAGATGGAAAAAAAACTTGGTAAAACCTGCTGTCCTTTTTTTTTCTGTAACATTTAAACTGTAGTGCACTATGGCATAAAACTGGTGCTGACATTATCCTTATCACAAATGATGCCTCATTCAACAACCTATCATTTATACTCAAAAATGAAATCAACACACTATTAGTTGTCTAGAAATGAAATCACTGCTCTATTAATTATACGCAAATGAAATCACTACTTATCAATTATAGAGAAATGAATTCACTCCTCTCTTTATCTAACAATTAGTATCTCCATAAACATCCGTCTCAAAGCATTAAACCTGAGGAAGTTATCAAAGCGCAGTAATTGTGGTTGTTGTGATTAGGTAACTGTGCTGACCAAGTGTCATTCCTGTCCTCCATGTCTATATTGATGAAATTAAAGTTTGCTGGAGAAAATCAGTAAATGGCAGATATTGCCCAGTGTCTGATCATGGGGAAGGGGTTAAATTGAGGTCTCTACATCAGGAATACCCTGACTGATTCCACGTACGTTCCTCGAAACTGGGCATGCAGTGTGACTGGCCAGGTGACTATATTACTTAGTGTTTACCTTGCATTCACAGCAGGGAGGCGGGCTGCCTTGCTCAAATTCTCAAGCATCTTACTTAAAGTCAAAAACACTGCCCCTGAGATAAATCACTACAAAAAGTTTATTTTCAATCCAGTTTACTGAAAATTATAACTTTTTCTGCATAAAATAGCCATACTGGGTACGTTGTTACATACAATGTTAATCCCCAATCTGTGGCCACTTGAATGCATGCCCAGCTTTCTGAAAATAACTGTTCACAGTTTAGAAGTTTGTTTTAGAAGTTCCATTTTATTTGAAGCATATTAGACAAACTAAAACAAGGCCAGTTGTTCTTGGAATCGTTAGCCACGTGCACATGGCTGAAGTTGAGAAGACTCTTTTCTCTCTCTCTCTCTCTCTCTCTCTCTCTGTTACATTTCTTGGGGAAAAGTGATGAAAAGTAATTTTACACGTTTTTTCTTGAAAATGCATATAAAGTTGGAATGAGTGAAATCTATTTTCTGGGTTGGTTTTTACTGAATGTGAAACACTGTAACTGTGTTGATAATTAAAATGGACCCAAATTCTTTTGAGGGCTTATTCGTTCATTCATTCATAAGCATGATTGAAACTTTGAATTTGATGCACATCTACGAGGGAAATACATGTGCCCAATATAATTAAGTGATTATTAAAAATCCCTATCCTCCACGATCTATGTTTTGACATTGACAACAAGTCAATTATGGTCAAGGTTTATTGAATTACTTGGTCCATTAGTGCTGTGGTTTGCATATATAACAAGGTTTGGGTCTCCAGAGCATGTGGTAGAGATTGAATCATTGTGCAAATTTGACAATTCCATGAGAGACATTGTCATCATTTTGATTGCTTCAACATGCCACACCCTAAAGTTATTAGGAGCTGTTTGTCTCGAAGGATTTAAACTGTCAATGCAGCCTGTGCATTTCGGAGCATTTACTTGAGGTGCAATGTATGTTTTATATTCACTTCGAGTCAAAAAGCCTGAGAAGATTGTCTAAACAACACCCTTCTGAATTTTACAGAATTTGAAGGAATTTCTTATTGAGCTGAATTGCAGTATGTGACAAGGTACTGGAAACTATTCTGACACATCAAAATTGGAATAGTGAGCCATAAATCTAATTTGTGATTATTAAATGAAGGCCAATTCCTGGAAAAAATTGATGGGAAAAATGCAATCAGTAGCAATTACTCAACCTATCAGGAATTTTGCCATAAAAGCCAAAAAATCTTTTATGACATTTCCATTGAAGTTTTAAGTCAAATTGAAGTAACTGCAAATGACAGATTAACTAGGAACTCATTTCATTGTGTCAGGAATGTTACCTGTCAAGAAACACGAGGGAATTTTAATACTTTGGCGATAAAAATACTGACAAACAAGAACAAAACTCATTAACAGATATGCCAATTGTTCTTTGTCACAAAATGTGTCAGAAATAGAAATAAAGTCAAAAAAGGCTTAATGGCCATTAAGCATTTTGTTAATTGTACCACCAGCGTTAGCGCTGGCGGTACACATGGTTTCGGTCCCGTCCGGATCGTTCCGCCGGCTCCGCCAGCTCCGCCGGCTCCGCCGGCTCCGCCGGACGGCTACCGTTACCGCTTCTCCTCCTAGACGGTAAGGGCCCCCGTACCCATCTCATGGATTTAGGTCACCTATAATCTCAACTCGTTCCACGTAAAATTTGGGCTTTGTCGGTATTGGGGTCTGGGTGTGGCACTCATTACAATGCACCCTTGTCTAAAAATGGCAAAATTAAATGCTAATTATCTACCCTACGGAAGGAGTTATGGGAAAAATTTCTATAGACGGCTTTCCAAAAGTCATATGTGTAGATTTCAAATATACCCTTGGATTTGACCTTTGACCTTTACTTCAAGGTCAAATGGGCCAAAATTTTCAAAAAAATGAAATTTTTTACGAAAAAAAATTTTTTTGCCCTGTTATTCAGACACTACACAGACTTAACCAATAATATTATTGGAAAGTGTTACCCTTCAGGTCATCTTTCATCTCCATGAATTTGGGGTCAATCGGTGCATTTTCACGGGAGTAGCGGCCATAAGATACCGAAACTGAAAACTGTCTCTAATTCGGGAACCGTTAATGCTAGAGACCCATTCTTTTTTGCATTTTGTAGAGCATGTAAAGCCCAACACTGGAGGTGGTCTCGGTTTTTTTGTATTCCATACGGTTTTCGAGTTACGCTGTATCAAAAAGTACATATTGGTGGTAAAAGCAAAATGTGCAGTACGGTAATGGATAATAAATTTTGAACTCTGGAAAAATAAAACATAAGGCTTGGCAAAGCAGACAACTTGTGTTCAAAAATGACATTATTTCATCAAATTTGAACTTCTGAAACTTCAGAGCACCTCCTATTTCAAGAATTTTGACCAAAATGACATTTTCTTTATTTTAATTAATTTTTTCTGTACGAAATTTAAGGCACATTATGGTAACTCCAAAATTATAACATTTAGTCCCTTTTATCTCCAAAACTGGCAGAGATAGGTCCATAGTTACTATTGAACTTGAATAGGAAGTCCTATACTGGCAATCTAAGTGTGACCTTGAAATTGACCTTTGACCTACTTTTTATCATGAAGTGAACTCTGCTAATTTCTTTCTCTTTTAACTTCAAACTTGACAGAGATAGGTCCATAGTTACTCTTGAACTTGAATAGGAAGTCATATACTGGCAATTTTCTGTGACCTTGAAATTGACCCTTGACCTATCTTACAAAGAACTTAAATTTGATTGTACCATATATATTTTTTGCAATAGTTTAAAAATTCTTGTTGATTGCATTTTTACAGCTTGTCAAGCACAAAACTGGTGGCTGTGTCCCTGATTTTGTGTATGTGGGGGTCTATACGAATGCGCTTGCTCCAGCTGGTGGTACAATATTCGGAGGCGGTATCGCCTCTCTGATCCTCTAGTTTATTTTTATTTTTATCAAATATGCCATTTTTAGTAACAACAAAAACTCCTCTTCAACTGCATTTCTAGGAGTTACTGCTGATAAATGCCATGGTATGATAATATCAAGACACTGCATGTGTAAGTAGGGTAAGCTGAATGACAAAGAAAGCCACAGGAATGTTTTGTCCCCACAGATCAATATTCATTTCATTTTACTGTTATGCATTTTCACCTTCAGTTTTGTTCTTTTTCCATGTGACTTGAGATAATACTGGACATATAATGAAAGTACAGTTCCTTAGAGTGCACAATGCATGATATCGATCATGATTTCATATTCACATTGAAAATTGAACAATAAAAACCCATGCCTTGTGAATTTTAAACATTTATGGTAAAATAGTTTGTGTGGCATGTCTTTATCTTTTATTCCAATTGTTTAAACTAAAATATTGGCTAACTTATAAAACCCGATCTGATTTTGTTTTTGAAGTCCACTCAAATATATTGAATTTAAATCTTTATATTACACTTCACACTGATCTTGTTCTAGTGACTAGAAAATGTTTTTGTGATGCAGATCATGTATCAACCAAAACCATTATTACTTATTATTACTTAATTCTCTCTACACAGTAGATATCATTTTCACTTAAAATCAAATTTTAAAAAATTGAAACCCCTTCACACTCTTCCACCCTACTCATCTACAAGGTTGAAGGGCATCTGTGTGGAACAAGTCCACACCCTAATACCAAGGGAGGCCAGCAGAGAAATCTGACCACTTATGAACACTTGTGAAAATTGACACAGACTTTCCTATTATTCTGGCAAAACTGACAGCTTACACAACTGGAAAGTTAGGATACAATCAAATCATAGACATAGTAGTGGATAAAATATATACATCAATCTCTATTTTCCAGACTAAAACCTTCCAAATTGAGAGTGAATGCCCCCCATTTATCCAGTAGCGTGATGTCACATAATAGGAAAAAATATATCTAATAATGAACTAACAGATTAAAATACCAACTATCCTTTGGGATCTGTACTAGTGGTTTTCAACAGAGAAATACATGTCTGTAACCTACACAGCTGGTCACATGACAGGCCAGGTGTGTGCACAGACTCCTATTATTCTGGCAAAACTGAAAGCTTACACAACTGAAATGTTTGAATAAAATAAAATTATAGACAACATAGTGAATAAAAATATAATAATTAACTGGATAAATTACATGAATCATAGATGTGTACTTAACGGTCCAGTCCCAGATGTGGGATAGATTCATTCTCAGCCCTCCTCTGCAGCTGGACTGCCGCTTTATTAAAAGTCCAGTGCAAGATTAAATTTTTTTCCTTGGAAATCTTCCAAACTGTTGTAGTCTCTCACCTTAAATGCCCTACAAGTGTCAAAATACAATATACTGAAATTTAGATATAAAATTAACTAGGATGGGTAGCCTTCACAGCCAGTGTGACAACTAATCCAAGAATTAATTGTAACTGTCATGCAGTATCAGGGCTAAAAAAGAAAAGTAAGTTGGAATAACAACTATATGTACTCAAGATGTCAGAGAGTAATACAAGCTTGTCCAAACTTTCTGTGAAGTTCCCTTTTAAGCAGTTAAAAGAAGCAACTAGCTTTGTTGAAAGAAAATGTTACAGGCAATATCACAATCTATATGTAACATGTAATATACCCACAATTATTCCAATTGGTTAAAATAAGTAACTGTCCCACTGCCTTTTCCAGGAGTTAAAACCAAAAAAAGTGACAAAATATCGATGAAGATATCGGCTATTATATAATGCCTATATAATATTAGAAATATAATATATTTAAAAAACAATACCATATAGTTTTAACTGAAATGCAGCATAGGTTTTTCATAAAATGTCTTCTTAGTGAAACTGTCAATATAAAACAATGTGTCCAAGCTAGAATTATCACACAATCACAGCTTAGTGATAACATTGTAAGTCTCTCGCATGTTGTCAGAATTATCATTTCCCAACTAATGCTCATAAAATAAAATCAGAAATAAACCCATGAATTTCCTCCACTTTGTTCTAAACCTTCAACACAGGGATCATTTCTTGTCTGTGCCAGACAAGACTGCAGAATCTTCACAGCTGAAAAATACCATCTTCCACTTCCACAGAAGTAACAAGTGAATGTTGTTCGCATGTCCACAGTAGAGAACACAACCACAAGTCCAAGAATCACACCATGATGATGTAAGAATTTAAATCAATAGCACTTTAGGGCACCAGTATGAAAACTTTGATTCATGGACAGGAGTAAATGCAAGATAGTCCACAGTAAATTGTTCAGTTCTCCACCATGAAAGGTGTGACCTGGAACATAAAGCACCTGTTACAGATCCTCACAGGTCTGGCATGGCCATAGTGGGGCAGAGGAACCGAATTGGGAGAACATCTTGCACAGAATATCTGAAATAAGAAGATGAATGAATTAAATATTACCATTAGATATATTTATGTTGTTTCGTTTATTTTTCAGGATGGGGTCTCAACCTTCATCTTGCTGATAATTGATGTACTTGAATACCATCAAAACAGGAAGTAAAATGTTTTGGCCACTACAGGAGATAATTCTTCAAGAAAAAATCAAATTAATTATAAATAGCTTAAATCGGTTGTTTTGCTTATTTCAACATTTTGAATAAAAACTAACAAAAATATTATTGGACCAAAATAACCCTGTTTGGCCTATAACATAAAGCCCAAGTAATTGGATTTAGGGTTAAAATACAGCAAGTTATCTTCACTGTAGAAGTTCAGTCAAGCATAGCATTACCTTTCCACAGTTCCTGCAGTGGTGGCGCCGGCGCACAAAGGAGAAGGGCACCTTGCAAGAGGTACAGTGTGGTGCCAGCTCATCAGGTACCCAGGGAGGTGGATCTGGAGCAAATTATTACAACATACAGCAAACTGAATTCTGCATCAACAATTCATTTTTGGTTAAAAAGCCTAAAGAAAATTAGGTACATGTTGCTCTTTTTAAGTACAGGTATGCTTCAGGTGGGCAACAAAACATGTATGACCTCACAATAAAAGGAGCACCCAAGATGTTATTCAGAATACTGAAAGAAGAAATACCCTGTGCAGGTCTCTCGTCAATGTTCCTCTCTGGACTGTTTTCAGGGGGACTGGACGCAGTAGGAGTGATCACATCCTCTTCCTCATTATCTCTGTCCCCATCAGAGCCATCAGATCTGTCCTCTAGAGAGTCACTGTTGTCACTGCGAATGTCTTCGGTCACCTCCTCGGCACTGTCCACCCTGACTAGGGGCTCAGAGGAGTGGACCTCAAATACTGCCCGCAACACATTCCTCAAGTCACTAGCATAGTTTGTCTGGAGCTGGTCAGCAACTCCTGGAAATTTTCAATAATGAGTTTAACACATGGTCTAAAAGAATAAACAAAACTGGAAACTAACACACACAAAATGCAAGTTTCTGAAGAATTTGAGGGCCATATTGTTCATAGTGACGGAATAAATTTTTCAAGTACCGCTTAGTGACATAAGAGAAGAAACAACTACATTTCATTCAGTTGCTGAGGAACAATAAGAACTTTTGGTCATGTTTCTAAAGCCAATGGAAGCCCCAAGTTTTCACACTAATCTGAAAGTTTACATGTTCACTAGGATATTTATATATCAGAGGCAAATCATTCCATTCTTCATGGTTATTAATCATTACCTGAGATGCACACAAACAGTCTGTGGATGAGGTCAGTGCTGCTCTTAAATCTCAGACGTGCTTCATTGCGAGACGCAAGCTCAGCTGCTTGGATAGCCAGAGCTATCTCCTCATCATCCTGACTCTCAGAGTTGTAGGAGCTGGTATCACTGGTGCTGCTGAAAGTGGCAAGAAAAGAATTCAAACAAGTGACCAGATGTGCTTTTTTCAAAACACTCCCAAGCCTCCATTTGCATTCATGAAAGTAAACAATTTGCAAACTGCTTGCATATTTCATATATTTGCACTCTTTACAAAATGTGTTTACAGAACTGTTGCAACATACCTCATCAAGTTGTCATAGTCACTCCCAACATTGTCGTATTCACTACTTGTGCTACATGTAGAGCAGCTACTGGTCTCACTGCAGTCATCTGAATACTGCAGTCTCTGCACTCTAGGGCAGCTAGGCTTTGGATTGGTTGAGTCGATTGTTTGATTCTTACTGTCTTTTTTACTAGATTTTCGAGGTTGCTGACTGCTGTGGGAGTTCTTATGAACTTCAGTTTTTGACATGTTTTCACTTTTGTTAGTGTTCTGTTCTTTTGAGCGTTTTTTACTGTGGCTGGAGGTGGAACTAGATGTATGCATAGGAACTTCACTTTCTGATTTCCTGCCTGCCTGCTCTTCTACAATTTCCATCTCAGTGCTTTTAGTATCCATATCCTCAAAGACATCATCCTTATTAACATAGGAATTTTCTTCTGATATATCTGACATTTGTTGAATGCTGTCCCCTACATATATCACAGTCCTGGGAGTATCAGCATCAGAGGATTGCCCAGATTCTGCTGAAGTTCTGGGACTGGTATTCACAGGCAAATGAAAGTTAAACTGGGGAGCCCCATACTGAGAGGCAGATGAACTACGCACAATTCTCCTGTTTGCATCAGACAAAAGCTCGCCAACTACCTGTTCACAAACTCGATGCATTTCCTCACTCATGGTGCTGCCTCTGCTGTTTTGTCTGGATGTTGTAGTCCGAGACCCCCCAGCACCATGATTAGAGCCACCACTGCTAGCTCTCTCACGTTCAGATTCAATACCAGTCTGGGTGCTCTGATTCCTTTTAGCAGCCCTCTTTTTCCTGTTGCTCTCTGACCCACTGTGCTTCTCCCCCTTTCCTCCACTTCCTCTCCTGTGTCGCCTGTGCCGTCTGCTCTCTGCATTCCCAGAACACTTTGAGCACTGTGTCCCTGCATCAGCAGCATCAAGGTCCTGTGATTGTTTAGGTGCCAAATGTTCACTTGTAACCCCATTCTGAGCTCCAGTGACCTGCTGCTGTTCCCCAGAGGCTCCTTCTGTAGAGTCAGCCCCACCCCCAGCAGTCTGCTCTGGAGGATAACTAGGGTTGGCTATCACAGTCTGTGTAGAGGGAGACTGGGTCATCCCCAGGGCTCCTATACTGTCATGGTTCTCTTCTGAGCTCTCAGTATCTGCGTCATTGTCCTCTTCCTTTTCAGGCTTAGTGTTCTGCTCTTTCTTTGACTTTTTCTTTTCGGTCTTCCCTGAAGCACCACTTTTCCCCTTGGATGGTGATTGTTCAACTGAGGAAGTGTTGGAGTCTGAGAATACATGTTCCACTGGTCTATACAGACCTGGTTCCTCTGAACTACAGAGAGCCTTTTCCAGAGAAAACAACTCATCTGATGTCAATGTCCACAGAAGTTCCCTGAAAGAAGGATTTTCATACTTCAACACAACAAAAAACCCTTTTTGTGCTTGTAAAGAAAGTTTCAGTGCCTGGTCTTCATTGTATAAAAATATATAAGAATCAAATGTCAGGTCATAACTATTTATTATGCCAGTAACCATTTATCCAAAGATGAAGAACATCAACATAGCATGGAACTCATTTCATAATGCTTCAGCCACCTCATGCTATATCTTGTTCAACAAATTTTTTAAACTTTGTACCACAGTTTTATAAGGTGCACAACATAAAATAACTTGTATTTATGAACCCTTTCTCTTCCTTAAATAACCATTACCTAGACACACAACAGTTTTACTTTTTTTATTACCTAATCTTGAGCAAAAGAGTTTGGAATGGTCTGTACATCTCAGACATTGACTTGGGTTCTTGGAGTGGGTTTAGAGGGCCATCAGGATATATCACCAAGCCACTAAAAGCAAACAATGAAAACCTTTTACCACAACAAAAAATGTTTATCAGAACACCTGTTTAATAATAAATAAATGGATTAACGTAATCACACACAAAATAAGTATGGTGTATGTAACAGCAGGTAGAAAGATGCACTAGTTTATATTTTTTTTTACTTTAAAGAGAAATGATATTAAACTGTCATTTATCTTTACAAATTGAAATTCTAGACGTAAGCCAGTGTACAAATTTTTCTTAAGTATATGCAGAGGATAATCACCTTTAACCAACTGTTAACCAATGAAATTTAAATAAAAAAATAATGCTAAAAGTAACACGCAGGTATGTGCTTTATTTATCTACTGCAAATAATATTGTAAATAATAAAGAAATGTTTCCAAGAAATAATGCACTTTAAGAGAACCATATATCAGTGTAAGCTTTATCATACTTACCACACTATGGCCAACCTTGGAATTGTAAACATCAAAGCAGGGTCATAGTCATCTATCATGTCCTGGGTCAGCAGCTCAACCTTTAGAGCCCTGAAATTACAGGTAAACACAGATCAGATAGTAGTGCATGACTGAAAGGTATGAGGTTCTCCTTGGCTTCCTATTACATAAAAAAACAGTCTCTGTCAATCATTTTCAATATCCAGGTATAAGTCTAAAGGATATGTACATTTTTTTTTTCAATTCATCAAGGTCAAACTTTTCTCATCAAAATATAATGGTATCGTTACTGATAAAGCTGTTAGAAAACAGTTTTAGTAAATTATATACAAATCTATCTTCCACTTGTGAAGACAGAAACCCAAAGAAAATTGATCCTAACCTGTCCACAGTTTCACAGAATAGCACAGTTACTTCCTGCAAAATGTCATACTCTTTCATTGTCTTTACAGGTACCATTGCACTTACATAGCTGCAATACAAATACAAAATATTAGACTTGTAGACAAAAATTAGAAGAAAGCATAGTTTTAACTACAATGCCATATACATGTTTCAAACTAGCATAATTTTTTTCTAATGATAAAGAACTATCATGGTAATAACTTACCTGAGCTCAAAGTCAGCAAAAAGTCTGTCAAAAGTGATGAGTGATTCTTTTATCTTAAAAAAATATAAACAAAAATAAATTTAAAAACACTCATTTTAGGGGTAACATAATTCAACAAAATATGTAACTGTGAAAATGGATATTAAATTCAACCATTCATCAAGTTTATTTCTGAATGACTTCTCAGACGTGTAATGGCACTTTAGTTTTATCCTCACATGATGTGAACTGATGAATACAACAGATATCAAATCCCTAATCCCTTCCTGGTAACTGATAACACTGGGACATGTAACAGTACTTTTACAATGTTCATTATGCCTCAACTGTTCTTGTTCACTGACGTCATTAAGGAGTAATCTCCAAACAACTTGTCCAAATGGCTTAAGGAATGCACAGTTATTCATCCATACCTTGAATAATGTTTATGACTGAGCTTTTTTTTTCTTAAAGATGGATGATTAATTTCCATAAAACAGAGGATAGAACAGGATATACAGAGGATCTCAAAAAAAGAACTGATAAATGAGACAGAAAAAGTTTTTACATAGTGTCTCAATCTATAATATGCTTTTAAAATATTGTATTCTTTGAGATTCTGCACACACAAAAAAATTTATTTCCAATGTATGTAAAGCAGGGGCGGATCCAAAGGTATTTTCTGACAGTCTTCCAAATTATCTTTGTTGATCCATCCTCCAATTTTTACCGTCTTCCGACAGAAAACCGGACAATGTAAACTTAAAAATCTGACCGTCTTCCGGAAGACCCAGAAGACGGCCTAAATCTGCCCCTGTAAAGTACAGGTAAGTTGACAGGAATTAGGACTATAATTCATGGACCCCGACTTCCTAACTGCACAAGGAGTGGTGGCCTTTTCTTAATCACACTCAACCACACATAGATTTACATGGATCTCATTGTCATTATTTCTTCAGTCAAATGTCCCAACACTTAATGTGATTAATACATCCTGGAAAAATGCAAATGAGTGTTTAACCAAAATGCTACAATAATGAGTACTCCTAGAAACATTACATTCCTACCAGCCCAAGGTGTTTCATTCCAATGAACCAATGCCATCTCTATGCCACATATGCTGTTTACTGTGATTTCCTACATTAACAGTGTCAGGTATCACACCTGAAGAACAGGTGCTATCACACCATCTGGGTAATCAACACATCTCTGGATACACTCCATTATCACATGAAATTACTGTCAATTGTTTTGGCCTTATACAGAAGCAGAAATCAAATCTTTTTTCAATTAGATATCACAGAACCTTGATTTGGCTGACTTGGCCAAAGAACAAATTGTCATAACCTAGGGGTAGTGGCATTTTTTTTAAAATTGAAAACAGCTGACCTAAACATCACCTCAAATAATTGTTATACATCAAAAACAGTTCCCCCAAGGCTTTTATCATACTAGTAAGTGTTTGTGGTCACACTTGGATCCTTTATAATCAGGAGTTGTTAATGCTTCATGTTAATCAGGATACTGGAATTATGAAACTATGTTCATAAATAATGGACACCTTTTTAGCAGAAAATCACTTCTGTGAGATTACTTGTGGATCTACAGTTAACATTTGAGAAACAACAAGGTCTTCCTTATTTTGAGTGAGCATTCTTTTATTGATAACTGTGTGTGTACACACACACACACACACACACACACACATAACCCATAAACACCACCTTAGAGAACTTGAATATTGTTCAGTTTTGGCGATAGGTCTATTCTCATTCACCATTAAGCATATTTTGACAATTTCTGCAATTTATACATCATAATTGATCATGATATGTCATCTTTTTCCAAAAAATCTTGAGCTACTCACAAATAATCCAAATTTATTCAAATCTCACCATCTCCTGTCACTCTTATATGAAGGTTTGATATATCTATAATATTATAACTCACCTCATCTGAATAAATTGCCTGATTGCGTAGACATTGGTCTCTTAGCATGCCCCTCAGCTGGTCAAGGGTTCTGGTCAGTGCTTTGGCCAGTGGTCGCATGGAGATACTTTCTACCTCCCTATTCATTATGGTAGACCCTGCTGCCAAACACTGTGAGAAAAGTAAATGATAATTTTATATATGTAAATCCACATAATACACGTAATACAAACTTGTCAACAGAAATATACAAGAGGTACAATGGCATTTCCAAGTACAAAATTAAAAGGAATTTTATATCTTTGCCTAAGTCAATTTTTAAATAATTTTTTTCATAATTTTTTAATATTTTTTATTAATAATCCAAAATAACAATTTACCTCTGCACCAAACCATAGCTGTCCTGCTAAGCTTTCCTGCAGTACATCATCAGGAAATTTGACTCGAAAGTCCCTTGATGACCGCTGTAGAGGTATGGCATCATCCATGATCCTCTGTACAATCCCTAGGACACGGTCCTGGCACTGGCGTAGTTGGTTCACCAACAGTGTGCATCTCTCGGGATCCTTACGCCCATCAAAACTGTCCAACTCAGCAGCGACTAAGTTAAGTTCCTCATCTGCATAGAAAAACTGTGCCAGCAGAGATGTGTCCGTTTTCTGGAATGCAGTTTTTTAAAGAATGCATTTACCAAGGTAAATCCTTAGATACTTAAAATAATGAAACAACAGAACTTGTTTTATTGGTGAACAGTAAATACAAACAAATGTGCATCAACTGAACTATTTATCTGAGGCATGGTCCTTCTCCTCAACAGAAGACTGGAAACCTGAGGCACCTCAAGAACTATTTGATTAAAATTATATTTGACTGGTCAAATTCAAGTCTTAAGTTATAGTTCCTAAAAATAAAAAGCATTCCATTACACACTGAGCAGCACTCCTATCAAGCACATATACATGTGTGCATAGTTATTAGTACATAGGTATTCAGATATATACAAAAATATATCTCCTTATAGAATAAATATGGTCATATCTTTGGCACCTATCATAAGACATATCATTTACCTAGGCTGGTATTTCTTAAAGCCATCTTAATCACAGAATGCTTTACATAGCTAGTTTCTGAAACAAGGAAGTGTAAGTGTGTATTTAATCAAAACTGAAAACTGACATGCATACAGTATATCTGGATCAAAAAAACTGAAGACCTACCAGGACAGCTAACAAATGACTTTCCAAACTTTGATACCTGTGAATTAACTGCTTCTTTTTCCCTAAGCAAACTCCCATTGCCATACAAACCAGGCAGAGCATACACACAAATCATTTACACTTCAATGATGTTAAGTAAACAATATTAAAAAACAAAGCCTGCTTTATAGCATTACATTCTTCAGGTAGCATTGCCTGTTTGTTAGTTAGTCCCAATCCACCTGTCACCAATAAAAGAATAACTGATATTTCTACCATCTCAACAAGGTGTCACACGTTTGAATTCTTCTGGAATACTTGATTAAACACAGCGAGTTCCAGTTTTGAAAGCTTGCCAAGTATACACAGTGTGATAACCATGCTGCTCTCTTTTATAAAAAAAATTGACAGAAAATTAGATTATTCAAAATCAAATAATCAGTTAACTGTACTTAAGAAATTTCTGATTGCCAGATATAATATCATAAATGTATATAATATTTATCTGTACTTATTTATGAACTGGTTTTTATTCAATAAATTTTGAAAAAAAAATCAGATTATACTCCTGACATACCTAACGGGCATATGAATGGGTCTCTTAGGCCAGGTTAACTTTCATACAGAAAACTTTTGAGTTTCAATGATGATTGCCATTAACTTCAACAAACATGTTCTAGATCAACAGATTTCATTTTTGTACAGCAACCTATTTGTTGATACACAGAGAATCCATTTTTTTCTTTCCTAAGCAAGAAGTTAGACATCAACAATTTTAACAGAGCAATGATTTAAGAAGAACGTAACTCATCTTCCAGTGTTTTGAGCGAGCTTTCTTTTCATTAGGTTACGCAGTAAGGCCTATAACATGGTTTAAACTACACTCAGACATATTTATTTGTAAATAGGAAGCAGTAAATCAAATATGATAAGAATCAGTATCCTTTTTTCATATGATCATGATAAGGTGTATTACTGTAAAAAAAATGTTTTAGCTGATTAAATGCATGTGCAGTAGATCCACTTTATTTTGCTCTGATCAGTTGTCCCTAAACTGTTAAAGCCTGAGGTTTTAATATGGTTGTATGAACTAAGTTTCATGTAGAGATTTTTTTTTTCCTTCTCACAATGGTAGTCAAGCATAATGCCGCACAGTATCATAAAGGTGTCAATTCAATGTGGTATTAAGACGTTTATAGATTCTTGCGCCACCCCTTTGTGACAGCTGAGAGTGAATGAAATGATTCAAGTGAAGGCTGAATTTATGTATAGACTTTTTTATGTAACCTAAGATTAAGAAGTGAAATAAACATTATTTACGTAATCTTGGAAACAGACAATGACAGAATTAGGTTAAAATAGCAGACAACCTGGTAACTTACAATGAACATTAATCATCAATTTAACATCAAATCTGGCACCTTTGTCTAGTTTACTTGGTTAATTTCATACAATGATATTTTCCATGTTAAAATCTAACAAATATGTTACCCTTGGCTTACCTTGGGTTTATAGAGCCAGCGACGAATAGAATACATGTTTTCCAGATCCTCAATAAATCATAAAAAGATAATAAAAGAAGTCGGGCATCGACAATTTTAAAAAAGCAATGATTTAAGGAGAACGGAACTCATCTTCCACAGTGTTTTGGGCGAGCTCTCTTTTAATTAGTTTACGCATGCGTAGTAGGGTCTATAACACGCTGTAAATTCAACTCAGACATATTTACTTGTAAACGAGAAGCAGTAAATCATACGTGATAAGAATCAGTGTCCTTTTTCAGTGATAACCAATCATGATAAAGTGTAAAAATTGTTTAAGCTGATGGAGACATATATTCAAATACAAAAAAAATGTTCGGATGCCAACAAACACGTGCACGTTCACTTATACAAAGGCACAACAACCACAATGAGAGAGGGCATATTTATTAAAATGGAGTAAAACAGGAAATACTTCTTCACCAGTTAGCTCGCCAAATTTACTGTTAATTCATTCCGGATATTGAATATCTTTTTCCTATCACTCCTTACTTAACATATAGCTTTTCCTCTTTTTTTTCATTATTTTCAGGGAATAACAAAATGTAAATGTGCATAGGTTGCATAGACCTCATCAATTATGCCTACTAGTTTTGATATTATTATGCGGTTTACCAAACACGAATTTCAGACCTTGCATTCTTTTTAGATAAAAAGGCAATTGAAGTTTTCATCAGATGTGTATAAAAAAATTTGTATATTTCTTCGAGAAGGTGCAAGTTCGCTTTCATTTCAAAATATTCCGTTTTCGTTTTGCTAACTAGCCACTTTTTAGCGATTTACCACGCCGAGCTGTAAAATAAAGCAGCATGTCAAATGTGGTTAGTAGTCTTGGCAATTAAACGTAAACGTTCATTAATTAATACGTCTCTAATATGTATGAAACGGGAAAGATCTTGCGCTAAGGCGTTTATATTTACATCCTCAGGCGTGATTCATCTGAGGTTGGTGCGGGTTATTTTTAGCCCCTTTTAACCTTCATTCATTGCCATAACATTCTGCGGAAAGCGGGCGTAGTCAGTAGACGTTTTCAAGCATTCTCTGTTCTGTGGAGTCCGTCAACATGCCAACTCATGTACGAACAACTCATGTCACCACTAGCTCGCATGTTGCGGCGGTGCACCATATCAGCTTTCGTGGATTAGCTGGTGCCATCTTCATCTTGGTAGCTCTGTCGTGTGTCCTGTATGTTATTGGTTTTTCGACCACGGCCTGGGCAGTGAGAGGGAGTTCGTATACAGGGTTATGGCAAAGATGTACCTGTTATACTGTCAAGGGCGCAGATGGTATGTTTCAGTTTTTGTAAAAGGAAAAGGGAAAGGGTTAAAGTATCAAACATACATGCTCATATAGATTTGACCTTGTAAAAGCTTGATTCCGTGCATTATAAATGTAAATGCGTTCAATCGATTAGCATAAGAATAATATTCTCTCTAATATGCGACGCCTTCCGGTTGAAAAAGGTACATTTACGACCATTAACGTGGTTTAGTAGGAAGTAGAAAAGTTCTAACGTGAGTTAATTAATTTCGCTTCTCCCTTGGACGCATAAAACATTTAATTCGCACAAGCCTCACTTCATGATATGTCTTTCATTTCAATAACAATATACAGTAGATAGGCCTATGTATGGAAAATCATTATCGAATTGAATGGCGGAATGCGTTCAAGGTAACCAGAGGGTGGGGAAGGACAATGTTCAAATGGATGACAGTGTTAATCTTGTTCCATATGTGAAACAATATTATCCAATCTAGGTTTCGTTAACTTGGGATTACAGTGGCGGATTTAGGGGGGTGTCAGGGGGTCCTGACACCCCCACCCCCTTCGATTTTTTTTAATCACATCAATGGTCCCCTCTTGAAATTAGAATTTTGACTAGCTGAATCATAGTTCTTAACCGAACCAAATGACACCGTTCGCCCTCTAAAATACCCGGCGGGCCCCGAACCTCACGCCAAGGGAGTGGGAGTGGAGAGTTGGCTTCACATCCACGGACACCCCCCCCTTTCAAATAAAACTAGATCGTTGTAATTGGCTAAGAGAAAATTTGAAAAACGTAACAGAGAGGGAAATTTCAGTGGCTGTTACAAAATTGTTTTTGCATGTAGCAAATTATATGAAATGATGTGTGCACCGAATAAGCCTTAGCCGGTTTTTACAGATGAAAATGGCATACATTTTTATATGTATTTGTATCTGTTTATTCCTTTAGACTGGTTCCATGCTGTCCAAGCTATGATCACCATAGGGTTGATTGGACTGTTTATCGGCATGCTGCTTATCACCCTGTACCTTTGCATCCATAGTTTGGCTTGCAGCAAAAGCACCATTCTCTTGTCTCTCACCATCGTCTGCTTTCTCTCAGGTAAGTAGAGCACGAATTCTGCCTTGAAAAAATCCGCCGTGCTACAACTGGAAGTTTCATCTTGCCACGGTTTCATTTTAGGATATATGACTACATAGAGACAGAAAATTATGTCTGTCAGGTAAACAGAATAGATAATACAAGTATGCACCAAAAATCATAAACACCCAAGGTCCAACAACAATAAACAGTTGAGGAGCTTAATGTCGGTAATGGCTGTTGCTCTAGTGAATTAATGTAAAGTTAATTCTGATTTAATTGGTGCATGAAATCCCTTCTTAGCAATTAAGGTTTGAATATATACAGAACGTCAGCTTGTTATTGACCTACAAAATAAACGCATGTAGGTGATAATTAGCTTAACGAAACTATTCACTAAAAGATTCACAGCCATGACCTGATCGACAAACAGGTAGAATTTTGCCAACGGTCACATGATTCTTGCTCAAACTGATACAGAGCAAATGCTTCGTTTATTGTACCACCAGCGTAGGCGCTGGCGGTACACATGGTTTTATTAGTTTCTGGGCGTTGGTTGCATTGCAAAGCTGTTGTCCTTATTGGCAATCGTGTCATAAAATTCTTATTACCAGTTATTTCTTGATAAGACTTCGATCACATTATAGTATTCGCTTAGAGAGCATTACAATCTGAATTTAAGAAGGCCTGCTATGATATATTGAAGACCTGGTGATTAACAAGAAAGATATGTGCGTAGGGCTTATAGCGGAAAAAAAGATATGCCATAGTAAAAGAACACGTGACGTCGCCCACTACTTCTCTAAGGATGCGGTCTTACAGATAGGGGTCTCCTCAAAAGACTGGTTTTAATCGTTTAATTTGAGTTGGGCTTTGCGTAAAAGTGCCCGCGTGTTACCTTGACTAAATTTGAGGTTTTAAAAATTGTGGGGGTTTTGGGTAGCACCTGCTGTCTATTTACACACGGACATGTCGTTTTTGACCGCATTCCGACTTGTTATAAAAGGACTCGTTTTTTTTTTTTTTTTTTTTTTTTTTTGATAGAATCGTGATTGATCTCTAATTAAATTACTTTTTGTATTTTTCATTTTAGTTATATTCATGCTGATCGGATTCATCATCTGGGGTATAAAACAGGAGTCAGATGTGGATTTTTCGTTCGGAATTACGGTGGTTGCCAGCATTCTGTGCTTGATAGCTGGAATACTTAGCCTGGTGCAGATGCGAAAATCAGGACTCGCCTAGAGAGACAATTGTGCGTTCATCACCTGTGCTTCATTGTTCAAAGATCTGTCTAGGATATTTCTTTTGCGCTATTTGACAACTTAGAGAAATTAAGGAAATGTGATGAAAGTAATTTTTCTGGCTGTGAACATGTAGGACGCATGGTGGTCAAGTTACTTTTTGCTGCTCTTTCCAAATTTCATTAACCATTTTAATATAGGGCTTCCTTAGATATTTTCCCCAAACTCTATTTTTCAAAAAAAAAAAACGAGATCAAGGATCATCATGTCGATGAATCTAATGACTTATACTTTTTTATTGGTGCCATATTATGTTAACGTAGACTATAATTCCTTTTGTTTACAGCTGCTGATATTGACACATATACGTATTTGCCACTTTTCTATTTTAATACCCTTTACTCTGTGCAGGCGTATATTTTTATATGTATATTGTGCTTATAATTGATACTCTGGTCTTTAAAGTGTCAGTTGTACATATGTATTATATATGTAATTGGGACTTTATAAAAGAATGTTTTTGCGAGTCAGGGGTTAGTAATATTGTAGAGTTCAAGATTTGTGTATAGGCCTGTCAACTTGCTTCCAGTTTTTACGTGTATATTCGTACCTTGCTGAAATATATGGTCCTTTTGATTTTGTGTTACGTGTTTCTTAATACAATATTTCCAGGTCAGCGAAATAAATGTGTTTAATTGTTGGAAGTATATAACACTGTGAAACAGAACTACTAGATATGATATATTATGAAAGATTGCAATTTATCCTTTTCTACAAATCAACAATTCAATAAATAATGAGAATAAAGTTGGAGTCATTTGACTCTCTAGTCAGAGTCCAGCATGAAGGGATGTGTGAATGGAGTCAACAGTGACCATCCTGTGGGGTCTGAGATGACGGTACTCCAACGGAGTCAACTTGACTCCAATTAGGAGTTATTTTAGGCACCACTGCTGGACTCCAAGTTTGGAGTCACTTGGACTCCGATTTTATTCTCAGTGTTCGAAAAGTCCATCTGTCAAGCAGTATGCTAAAAGAAGACTGAATCGGTGTTCGATTTTGAAAAGTATTATGGGTATGCTACACTGAATCCCGGATTTCCAAGTTAACATGCAAGTGGCAAAAACACGACTCCTAATTTTTTGACATGCCCCCACCGCTGCAAGAAGGATCCTTCAGTAAACTAAGGTTGACAGTAATACAAGAGATACAATATATTTGTCTCACTTTGAACGGTAGACCATCCAAAATTAATCCTCAAATTTATGAAATTTGATCCAAATCAATTGGAAGTTGAGTCTGTTTGAGTCTCCAGAGTAAACGATCAATGTTCATCGAATGAAGTGTTCTGAATGCATTGGATATAGCTCGTCTGTCGTATAGGTGCACTTACGGCAACGGTCAAGAGATTTTTGCCACCTCAACGCCAGAGACCAATCATCATCGTTATAATAATTTACTGTTTTGAAGAGGTTAAGTAGATGTTCATGTTCTGTTTTTTACTTTCGGTTGACGCCACCTTTGTCGAACAAAGCTGAATATTGATATGTTTAGAAGTGAGAAATGAACTGATACGTCACGTTTGAGGACTGAGGGCTTTTATATATCCGATGCAAAAATGGAGTTATAGGTTGACATTAATTTAGAATTTGATCCTAGAAAGGCAAAGCGTTTATTAGCGAAGCTGCATTAATCTCTTTTCGCACTTTTGCTGTAGAAGAAATAGCGTGGAGCTTCTCTGACTATGAAACACAAGTGTGATCTCTGGAAAGATCAACAATAATGATACCGACAATATGTACGTGCCCTGTGCTCACAACCAAGTCCATTTTCTCGTTACGCACGTAGTTTTCATTTTGAAAAGTCCATTTTTACGTTCATCATAATATGCATTATAATTTAAGCAGCTCCTGTATAATAAAAGTAACATTGCTTATCATCGTGGTTTTACATGCTATTCAATGCAATTTGCAGAAGAAAATTTTATTTAAGAGAGAATTTTCTAAAAAATCAATGTTTCATGTGAATCTCACAGTACATATGTAGGCCTACACTAAACTGTTAATCAAATAATACTACATAACCACAATAAGTTTTATTTTGATTTTTTCTTTTACTTCTGTTTAATTGTGTTAATTGCAATAACTGTGGTTAAATTCTACAAATACCACGATAATACAACATGAGAGTATGATAACAATTTTATTTGAAGAAAAAAACTTAACGACATTTTACCCCATATTAAAAAATATATATATGACCAGTGCAATACAAAACCTAACTTGACTTCTTTGTAGCAATTGCATATTTTTAAAAGAGAACCCCTTTCTTCCTAACGAAGAGGTGCGTTACGGCATTGAGGGTTGGCACATGAGTAAGAGCGAACCTCAATTGTATCCTTTTTTGTTCAGTAATGGACATGATAAGAAACGTCTATTCATGAAAGGAATGTGATTTAACTTTTGTGAAAAGACCTCTTAACAGCGTATCGTGCTTTCAAGTGTAAACCTATGTTTTTAATGCTAATTATCAAAAATAAAGCTTATTTCAATCTATTAACTACTACGTATGAAAAGAACAAGTAAACGAAGAACTTAATGCCAACAATAAAAGAACAGTATATGATTTATAAACATAACTTTATAGAATAGCTAAGATACGAAAATAAGGAACCCTTTTCAGTAACCCTCTTAACTAAGATATCAATCTATAGGGTGAAATAAACAACCCATTTTACCTCACATGGATCTAGACTACACAAAATACAAGGTTCCTTCAAGAATTTTCACAACAAAACAAAGAATATCGACCGTTCCTCTGTTCCCGCAACATGTCCGCCACCACAATCATACAGGAACATCTTCATGAGTCCCTCAAGCACATTTCTCACACATTACTCTCTAAATGTCCGCGGGTGGAATGAAACTGTGGAATCGCCTTTATTTTCAGTTCAAAACGAGTTCTGGTGTATGACAGCGTTCATACGAGAAATTTTCACAACCGCCTTTGTCCACTGGTTCCGTGAGCGCTTCCCAACATGACTTCAACTCAGCCGCAGGTTGGACAGCTGGGCGTCCAACGAAAAGTCCTCACAACACAATACTGCATCTGGTAGCTGCTCGTAGAGAAGACGATTGCGGACCGCGGCAACAGTCATCATCAGCACGTCTTCATCCAACTCAGGTGTCTGTAGAGAGAAAGAAATAGAATTACGCAAATACAAACAAAGACCTCTTCATGTCGAGCCGTACAGTTTTCTGTACCTCACCAGCTTGACTGGCCCTACACGTAACTTTGCTTTTTCACTCCCTGTCACGAGCCCCTACGGTTCCGGTTAACTGGTCGTGTTGAGCGCGGTGGCTCCGCTAAGGTAACTCTCTTACTTAAATGGCAGGCCACTAAGTTGTCAGTCATGACCTAGTTTGATCGCAAACATCCCTCTTTCCTGCTTTCCTCACGTAGCATGGGCTCAACCCTAACTTTTCTATATCAAAAATAAACATGTCTATTCTACGCAAGGGGCTAAATAAAATTAACGAAAGGCATTGGGTTAAGAAGTATTTAGTTATCTGCACCATTTCTGAACCCCTTCAATTCGTAATTAATTATTTTTGAAAACTGAAGAATGATTTCGATAACACTGCCCCTCTATACAAATAATGCGCCTTAGACTTTTATTTTACGTAATAATAATTTACCTGGAATTTTTAAAAGTTTCCCTTAAACACCAAGGTATATACTATAAAAAAACTTAAAACGAAACAAAATCACGAAAAATATGATTTGCTACACAAAACTCTCAATGCGCATCGCAAGCCTTCAACAAAATGAACTTAACAATTTGTTTATTATAGAGGGCATGCACCTTTTTGTGTAGCCTTTGTCAAGGTATTTTTGTTGCTGCCTGATAAATGCCTAAACAAATATAAATTATTCAAATTCATATTCAGTGGGTTAGAAAGGCACAAAACTTAAATTACTGTTCCCATAATTTCCCTATGCAACATTCATGAGTGTAGGTCTAAATAAAAGACCAAAAAGAATATTTTAATCTAAACAGTTATTTTCTCTTCATAAAAATAATATGCGAAGCAAATATCTTACATACCTATCGTTGCTACATGTATTTCTCTTACCTGATGCATGATGACATCTTCTTGAGTCTCGGTTTCTTGAGGCTCGGTCATGAAGACGTCGGACATCTCCTCTGGCGAGACTACTGCTGGAGGGGGGTGGGCATGCACAGCTGGTAAATAATTGTTGTTTACATCATTATTGTTAATGTCATTGCCTGGTCGGTTGTCGTGCTGCATGATGATGTCTGGTTGGAAATCGTTTCTACCTGCACCCTCTATCGGCGTCTCCTCGAAAATGTTTCTTAACTCAGATTCTAAAAGGGATAGGAACAAGTAATTATATAACGGATCAAATTATTACGTTAGCAAGGACGTAATAAATTGCTTATCTCTGTTCTCATCGGGTGGTGGCAATCAAATATAAGATTTTGCCCCCTTTAGTGCACCACAGGTCCTCACTATTGTAGCCACTTTGGTTACTTCAGCGTGATTTATTATGTCTATTTAATTGGCTTTTGCTACTTTATTTGTCTTTCTCTCTGAAAACCAAACAGTAGGCCTATGTTAGGCAAATCATTCTAAATATGTAGTACTTATTTTAAGATTTACAGAGGCATAATTGCAAATTAAAGCAAAAATAATATTTAAAAGACTTCCGTATTACAGTCATTTTTTTTACAGCAATTTTTTTTAAATAATCGATATAATCGAATTTATTTTGCTAACCTATGTGTGGTTTAGGAGGGGCAATGGTCTCTACGCGTCATATTAGTTTATCAATGGAAATTAAAGTACGAATAAAGCACTTAATTTTATTAAACTCCCACCCCCAGGCCTTTAACCCGCATTCTTTCAGTTTGGCACCCCCCTTGCATATCTACCTTTTACATTACTGTGAAATTCATAAAAAATACTTTTTATAATATGAAAATTTAGTAAGCAGACCTACAATACCTACCTATGAGTAAAGCAAGTTGCACGTCCACCTCGATCTGCTCCATCTGCGGTACTGACAGAAAGTAGGCAACGGCTTGGTGTCTCTGCTACTCTGGTTTAACAGCTGGCGGCCAACCTTTCAGAGCCCAACAGTCAGTTTCAGACCTGTTGTCGCCAAGCCAGAGCCGCAAGATTAATACCCCAATTATAGAGTTTACGGTCACCCCGAGTGTCGTATTCTCTTTAACACTTGCTTTGTTTGTCAACAGATCAATTACTGCTTTGAAAGTTGTATGAAGTTCAAAGAACAGGGATGGCCCATTAACTGCGGCCACACGCGGTCAATCTGCGGCCCAAGTTTACAGTTTATCTGCTTGATTGATCTAACAAAGATATCCCGCAGCGCGTCGTTAGTCAAGGTGTCTGGGAAACATGTGCTAGCTGGAAACGTGCTAGCTGTTTCAATAGATATTATTAAAGCAGTGTAAAATATAACAGATTAAAAGACCTTGCAGACAATAGAATTCTGAAACAAACATCTGACCAAAAGAAGCTCATGAAAACGGACAGTTGGTCCAGAGCGGAGATGGCCCCCCAGAATTGGAATATCAAAAACTCAGAGGAAAATTACAGTTTAGAAAAGGAAATTTACAAATAAAAAACAATTCAATAAATAAAAGACGTCTTTAGGGAAGAGCTGAAAAAATCAAATATACTGGGCACTTATAAACTATAAAAAAGATCCACGGACTCGAAAAATACCTAGAAATAAATCCCACTAAATCCCAGAAGAATAATATGGCAAAATTAAGAATAAGCGATCATGATTTGTCGGGTAGACACTCGAAACGCCACTTCAAGAAAGAACGTGCAAACACTGCCACAATGAAATTGAAGATGAAAAACACTTTTTATTTGACTGTGGGAAATAAATAAAGGTGTGAGAAAGCATGCTGAAATCCCTGTCAAGACAGAGAAAATTATAATTTGACAGACACTGATCAGAAATCATATGTCCTACTAGACCCATGCCACGGAATAACAAATCTTTAAAAGAAGTGTCGCGATATAGGCCTATAAAATTAGCAAAAAGCGCCCATCAGTCCTCAACCTGTATATAATAATGAGGTATACCAGCCCGCTTGGCGCCAGGTGTCGCTAGTGTGAATTCAGTCCTTCCACAGTCGCCATGTTGGATATCATATACGTTGGACTGTGGCACTGGCCTTAATAAACATGCCTCAGTATTGTTGTGTACCTGAATGTCAAAGTCGGCAAGGTGGGCATAATTTTCCTGAGGATTCAGGGCTTCGTTTGAAGTGAAGGGTTGCCCATGTCAACACACCTTCCATGTTAAAAGGACAGTTACAACTTGACCCAGGCACAGTAATTAGGCCCCTAAAGATAGACGAGTTGCCTCAAAAAGAATACACGTAGAAAGGTTAATT